GTTGTTAGGAAAAGGACCTTATGAGGGTCAACGGCAACAAATTGAATATGATCCTGCTATATATGCACAAATTGCTGCAGACGCAGTTAGGGCATGGAAGACTTTACAAGGACATGGAGATTTACAAGGTCAGCTATCTAAGGTAATACAGAAAGCTAATGAACCTTACGCTGAATTTGTAGATAGGCTTATTCAAATAGCTGCCAGAATTGTTGGGGATACAGAACAGGCAATGCCATTAATAAAACAACTGGCTTATGACCAAGCAAATCGTTGCTGCAGAGAGGTCATTAGACCATGGAGACATGAATTTAAACACATATATTAAATTATGTAGAGACATTAATGAACAAGGGCAAGTCTTGGCAGCTGCAGTACAACAGGCTTTAGATGCCAGGCCAAAAACATGCTACAATTGTGAACAAACAGGACATTTTAAAAGGAGTTGACCCGTAGGAGAAGGGTTTAACAAAACTAGGTATCAAAGGAATCAAATACCAGGTATTTGCCCACAATGCCGTAGAGGGAGACATTGGGCTAATGAATGCCATTCTCAAACCACCATAGAGGGTACTCCCTTATCAAAAAATGGACAAGGACCAGGTATTTACCCACGATATCGTGGAGAAAGGCATCAGGCTCCATTGCCAGAAAACGGACTGGGGGGCCCAATGCTCTGGGGCCCACAACCACAAATATACGGGGCAGTGGAGGAACTCAGCAACACCATCAGGGTAGTGCCCAGGACACATTGTCCATTAAATCCCTCATCAGACAAACCCGAGGGAGCGCAGGGTTGGACATCTGTGCCTCTGCCAGAGCAGTACTAACTCCAGAGATGGGAGTTTAAATCATTCCCACAGGAGTTAAAGGACCTCTTCCCCAAGGAACAGTAGGCTTATTATTGGGACGTAGTTCATCTACACTAAAAGGACTTATGATAAGTCCTGGGGTAATTGATCCCGATTATGTAGGTGAAATAAAAATTGTAGCTAGTTCTCCAAGAGGTATATTAGTAATTTCACCAGAAGATAGAATAGCACAGTTGTTAATAATACCCAGCCTACATAATAAATTTTCTAGTCGTAGTGTAGAAAGAGGTTCCAGGGGATTAGGCTCCACAGGTGTAGATTGGGCTATGCTGTCTTTAAATGTAGATTCTCGCCCAATGCTAAAACTAAATATTCAAGGACATGAGTTTAATGGTCTACTGGACACAGGTGCTGACCTTAGCATCATATCTCGTCAAGAATGGCCAAAACATTGGCCATTACAACAAGCCACTCAAACGCTTCGAGGCCTAGGAGTGGTGACTAATCCCCATAGAAGTGCAATGGTATTAGATTGGAAGGATCCTGAAGGATGTGAAGGAACTATACAGCCATATGTATTGGATCATCTTTCTATAAATTTATGGGGACGAGATGTCCTAGATCAATTAGGTTTGACGTTAACAAATAACATCAATCCTAATGCGCCCACTACTAGAGCTAGACAAGGTTTTAGGAAAGAAAAAAGATTAGGAGAACAAGAACAAGGTATAGCCGCACCAATACAAATAGATCAAGGAACAGACAGACATGGGTTGGATTTTCAGAAAGGGCCACTGAGACAATCAAAATTACTTGGAAATCAGAAAGACCAGTGTGGGTTCCTCAGTGGCCCCTGACTAAAGAAAAGATACAAGTAGCCAATGATCTGGTCAAACAACAATTAGCGGAGGGACATATACATCCTTCCTTATCTCCCCATAATACTCCCATTTTTGTCATCAAAAAGAAATCTGGTAAATGGAGATTATTGCAAGATTTAAGAACCATTAATGATGAGATGGTTATTATGGGACCTGCTCAATCAGGGATTTGTCAATTGTCTGCTTTGCCAAAAACCTGGCATGTTTTAGCTATACATATTAAAGATTGTTTTTTTCGATTCCAATTCATCCCGAGGATAGTCCACGTTTTGCATTTACTATCCCTGCATTAAATCATGAAGGTCCTGATCAGAGATATGAATGGAAAGTACTCCCTCAAGGGATCGCTAACAGTCCAACTATGTGTCAAATCTATGTTAACAAAGCAATCCAGCCACTTAGAAATCAAAATCCTGAACTACAAATATTTCACTATATGGATGATGTATTATTGGCACATAAAGATACAAGGTTGCTGGGTGCAGAGGCACATGCCTGTAATCCTAGCGGCTCAGGAGGCTGAGGCAGGATGATCTCGAGTTCAAAATCAGCCTCAGCAACTGTGAGTCACTAAGCAACTCAGTGAGACCCAGTTTCTAAATAAAATACAAAGTAGGCTGGGAATATGGCTCAGTGGTCGAGCGCCCCTGAATTCAATCCCAGGTAACCTCCCCCGCAAAAGACATAAGGTCTATTTACTTTTCCCTAAAAGTTAACAGTGATAATATGGAATAGCATTCCTTCCCCCTCAAAATGTGTCAAACTATGTTAGAAAGAAAAATGAATTGTTTTTTTTTTTTTTTTTTTTTGTGTGGTGTTGAGGTAGAGCCCAGGGTCTTATGCATGATAGGCAAGTAGTCTATCCCTGAGCTAGATCCTCAGCCCAGGAGAATAGTGAATTTTTAAATGTGTTATTGAGAAATAATGTTAAAATTACAGAAAAGTTGTAAGAATAACACAAAGAATACCCACATGCCCTTTACCTACACTGCTCACATGTTGCCACATTTGCCTTATTATTTGGTTTACATTTTTTCCTGAAACATTTGAGAATAAATTATACATATCATGGTATTTTACCCTTACATACTTGTGTATTTCCTAAGAATAAAGATTTGAAAACACACACACACACTTATATTTATTTTGGTACTGGGGACTCAACCTAGGGGTGCTTAACCACTGAACCACATCCTCAATCCTTTTTGTTTTTTTATGTTGAGACAGGGTTTCACTAAGTTGCTAAAGCTGGTCTTGAACTTGTGATCTTCCTGCCTCATCCTCCTGAGTCACTGGGATTACAGGCATGCACCACCTGCCTAGTGAGGATTTGAATATATTTTTTTAAAAACCCCTTCAGCTGAACTTGGTGGTGCATATCTGTAGTTCCAGAAGCTTAGAGGCTGAGACAGGAGAATTGTGAGTTCAAGGCCAGCGTGGGCAATGTAATGAAAATCCTGTCTTGTTATGGTTTGGATATGAGGTGTCCTGCAAAATCTCATGTGTGACACAATGCAAGAAGGATCAGAGGAGAAATGATCGGGGTGTGAGAGTCTTACCCTAATCAGTTAGTTGATCCCTGATGGGATTAACTGAGTGGTAACTGGAGGCAGGTAGGGTATGGCTGGAGGAAGTGGTTCGTTGGGGTCGTGGTTATGGGGTGTATATTTTGTTTCTGGAAAGTGGAGTCTCGCTCTGCTTCCTGATCACCATGTGAGCTGCTTCCATCTGCCACACTCTTCTGCCATAATGTTCTGCCTCACCTTGAGCTCCAAGGAATGAAGTCTGCCTTCTTTAGACTAAAACCTCTGAAACTGTGAGCCCTCAAATAAACTTCTCCTCTTCTACAAGTATTCTAGTCAGATCTTTGAGTCACAGCAGCAAAATAGCTGACTAGAACACGTCTCAAAAGATAAAAAGGGGGCTGGGGTTATGGCTTAGCAGTAGAACGCTCGCCTTGCACGTGCAAGGCCCTGGGTTCGATCCTCAGCACCACATAAAAATGATAAATAAATAATAAAATTATTGTGTCCAACTACAACTACAAAAAATAAATATTAAAAAAAAAGATAAAAAGAACTAGGGTACAACTCAGTGGTAAAGCATCCTGGGTTCCATCCCTAGGATCACAAAAAACATAAATCACAGTTTTATAAAATTTTGTTCCAAATGAAAACTGAAGTCACTTTATAAAATTCAGGCTTGAGGAAATCAAAGCCGTGCCTGTCTGTGAAAGGTATTGGATGGGAAGATAGCTGCGCCAATGTTGAGCCTCCTGTCCGCACAGAAGGCCGAGTCGGTGCGCAGTTCTTGGAGAAACATTTTCTTTCCTCCCACTTGGCACAGGTATTGTATGATGTTCCAAACGGCACTCGGCCCACAGTTGGATGTCTTGTGGGACCTGAAGAATACCTGCAGTGTTCATTAGCAGCATCATGGACTTGCCACTTTCAGATCATTCTGGCAACCAGTGCAGTTTGAACAGAGACCTGAACATGAACTCCTGTCCTTCATGAACATCTGTCTCCTGGATGATTGTGTCTTTGTCCCCCTCTCCTTCGTTACTTACATGTGGTCTTTCCCCCTGTGTGTCCATATCTCTCTTAACCTTGTCTCTTCTGATTACTGGGCACACTGCTCAGACTTCACAGCTAAATATAGCAGCTATGAAAGCCGTGGAATTGCTAAATTTTATTTTTAATTTCCCCCCAATTCTCTCATCAAAAAGGGAGGAATGGCAGAGTTGGGTGTGGTGACACATATGTGATCCCAGCAACTCAGAAAACTAGGGCAGGATTGCATGTTTGAGGCCAGCCTTGGCAACTTAGTGAGACCCTGTCTCAAAATAAAAAATGGAAGGGGCTGGGGCTGTAGCTCAGTGGTAGGACACTTGCCTAGCATGTGTGAGGCTCTGAGTTTGATCCCCAGCACCACATAAAATAAAAACAAATGAAATAAAGGTATTGTGTCCATCTACAACTAAAAAATATTTAAAAAAAAGGGTGGGGCAATGGTGGTGAGAATAAGCCAAGTCTGGCCTGCTATCTCAGCCACTTGGGTGGCTGAGGCAGGATCATGAGTCAAGCCCAGCTTGGGTAACCTAGTGAGACCCTGTCTCAATATAAGTAAGTAAATAAAAGGAATGGCTTTTAAATTTACTTAATACAGAAAAAAAAAAATTGCTTTATTTGCTTTTTTTTTTTTTTTTTTTGTATCTTTCAGTGTCAGAGTCAAGTATTGAGATCCAAGAAGTTTCTCCAGAAGATGTCATTCATGATGACTCATCCCAGTATTTGATGATGGGAAGAATGCTAAGCCAAGGTCCCATGTATTCCAGCATTAAAGGAAGCTGGAAATGCAAGGGTGGTCCTGACACACTTCAAGGAAATCAGGGATGTACTGGGAAAGTGGCAGACCCTCACCAAGAAACTCTGCCTCGACACGTGAGTATCTGTGCGGTAGAAAGGCCCTATGGATGCCGCGAGTGTGGGAAGACATTCAGTCGGCGGTTTTCCCTTGTGTTACATCAGAGAACTCACACTGGAGAGAAACCGTATGTGTGTAAGGAATGTGGCAAAACCTTTAGCCAGATTTCAAATCTGGTGAAACATCAGATGATACATACAGGGAAGAAACCCCACGAGTGTAAGGACTGCAATAAAACCTTTAGTTACCTTTCCTTCCTCGTTGAGCACCAGAGAACACATACTGGGGAGAAACCCTACAAATGTACTGAGTGTGGAAAGGCCTTCAGTCGTGCTTCCAATCTCACCCGACATCAGAGGATTCACATAGGGAAGAAGCAGTATGTTTGTAGGAAATGTGGGAGGGCCTTCAGCAGTGGCTCTGAACTTATTCGCCATCAGGTGACACACACTGCAGAGAAGCCTTACGAGTGCACTGAGTGTGGGAAGGCATTCCGGCGCTCCTCACACCTCACTCGACATCACAGCATCCACACGACCAAGACCTCCTACGAGTGCCCTGAGTGTCAGAAGGCGTTCCGTTGCCATTCGTTCCTCACGAAACACCAGAGAGTCCACGCTGGAGAAAAGCTCTACGAATGTGACGAATGTGGAAAAGTCTTCACTTGGCATGCGTCTCTCACGCAGCACACGAAGACCCACACTGGAGAGAAGCCCTACAACTGTGCTGAGTGCAACAAAGCCTTCAGCAGGAGCTTCTCCCTCATTCTGCACCAGGTGACTCACACTGGAGAGAAGCCTTATGTTTGCAAAGTGTGCAACAAATCCTTCAGCTGGAGTTCAAACCTTACTAAGCACCAGAGAACACACTCACTGGACAACCCCTATGTTTATGAAAATTCATTTAATTACCACTCTTTTCTTGCTGAACACACTATAAAGAAAACCTAAGAATAAATTCATCAGTAAACAGCAAAAGGTAATGCCTCACTTTCCCTTCAGACAACTCTCAGAAAGAAGCCTTGTGTGAATGTGAAGATGTGATCCACACCTTATTCAAAATCCTGCAGAAGAGTCCCAAAATCTGTGGGAAAGCCATTCTAGCTGCTCATTCTCTATCAGAAGACGAAATCACTATTGAGGAAATTGTTCTTATAACACTGAAAATACTCTTCATTTGGTAGGAGTCTCTCACTCTACTTTTGTAAATTCCTTCCTATTAAGATATGAGGGAACTTTTATTTGAGATATCAGTCCTTATTCTTCATCTGTTAGTTCAGCCAGGACAGATGCATGGTAAGAAAGAGCTTTAGAAAAGGATACTTTGGACATCAGAAAGTACATAAATGAAGTGATGCATAGAAACACAGTGCTTGGGAATTCCTATATTTTCCATTCAGTATTTATTAAAATTTTAAATACTCTTGAAGGATAGAAGGCAGTATCTGAAGCTCAGATGAGGGAATCATGTTGAAAAACTACTCTAATGAGCAGTCATCTTGGGTGTGGGGAAGGGTCTCATTTTGGGGTGGGGGGAGATGGGATTTTTTAAAGAAGTGAATTCAGAAGAAGAAGTTATAAATAAACCTTTTGGCTTTTACTAAACTAATCTTGTACCTGCTCATCTTCCACAGCATATGTGACTCTGAAAGTATAACTACTACGATATTGACATCCACAAGAAGAGTGCTCTGCTTTCATAGGAACATCATACAAACAGAAACATTAGGCGTTTTCTGGTTTTAACTTTGCAGTGAGAGAATTTGGTTTTAAAGTTATGCTAACTCCTGTTTATCCTTGAATCTAACTAAGACAGTCTGAAATGGAAGATGCATCACAGCAAATTTCCCAGGCAGTTTCCCTTTTTTGTTCCATTTACAGAGAGAACAGTTTTCTCATAAGCACATATATAAGCCTTTTGGTATGATCAGCTGCCCAGCTGGCACAGCTCACACCTTCAGGGTAAGTTTGCTTTGATCAGCAAGGTAAGCAATTTCATAGAAGGAATCAGTAAATAGGAGAAACTTTATTGAGCACTGATACTATAGTAGCTGCACATCTGTAAAAGGTGTTAATGGATAAATATCTCATTTCAGAGTCATTTTTTAATACCTTTATTTTATTTGTTTATTTTTATGTGATGTTGAAGATCAAATCCAGTGCCTCACACGTTCAGAGTCATTTTTTTAGGAGATAAAACCTAGAATAATCTGGTCCTGGAGAGCCTTATTTACATGCCACTAGACTTCTGCCTGCATGATCAGAAGGGCTGCATTCTCTGGAAGCTTTTGTCATTATGCCATTTTTGTATATATATTTTGAAGCGTCCCAAAGCTTTGCATAAGATTCATTTAGGAGAGGCTGATATTGATCTGAAAACTGTAGTCTGGCTCAAACACTGATGATGCCTGGATAGAGATGGGTATGTAGTATCGGATTTGGTTTTCTAAGGTAGTTGGTAGTCTGTATCAGGGTGAAGATCATGTTACCTGAGCTGTCAATATTAGGGAGAACATGAAAACACTTTATTTAAGTTGATATTTTATATACTTAAGGGTTTACCTAATATATTCCATTATCTGATTCAGATCCAGAAACCACCTGCTCTCTACTCAGTGGGACCTGACTTGTGTGAAATATAGTCAGGTGTTGGGGATTGTGGCCCATGTCCAGATCAGGGCTTGTGAATTAAGAATGGTTTTTACAATTTTTAAATGTCTGTTTATTTTTTAATTTTTATTTTAAAAGGATGAAGAATATGCAATAGAGATATATATGGCCTGCAAAGTTTAAAATAGTGTCTAGACCTTTATAGAAAACTTGTCAACTGTGATATAAATGAATATTAAGTTTACTCACTGATAATTATATTATATTTGGTTTTCAATAAAATACCTATGGAATTTAACATGTAATGAAACTAAAGAAGCATGGGGACAGCACAAGAAGGAGGGTGCCAAGTAAAGAGTGGGGGACCCTTGCAGCACCAGGGAAGTGGGAGAGGTGTTGATTGGGCTCTTTGTTCATCTAGAGGCAGGTTAAGTAGGTATGTACTATTTGGGAAAATTCATAGATGCTGTAAACTTCTCCCTGTATTACTGTGTTTCAGTCAAGTTTTTACAAGTCTTCCAAAAGAAGATTAAACTAAGCTTCAGCACTGAGACAGGAAGGTACTCTGAATGCAGAAAGATAAGGGGATAGAGCAACAGTATATTCAGTGTGAGTGAAGTAAATGCTGGTTGTGTGGTAATAATCCAACCTCGAGCTTCACTTTGCATTTAACATTGGTAATCTGCCCTCTGTCTGAGAACTTCCTAGATTTCTGGTGCTGAAATCTTGGAATTCCCTTGCTTCTCTGATGTCTTGCTTCCAAGTGGCTTCAGTTCTATCTTTATCTCCTGCCTAAGCACAAAAATCAGCCCACATTCCTCTTCCATCTTCCTTTTTGGATTCCTTTGCAAATACATACACTCACATTGTATTGATTGCACTCACATACTGTTTTTTAAAAAGCAGTATACTTGGGGCTGGGGATGTGGCTCAAGAGGTAATGCGCTTGCCTGGTGTGCGTGCGGCCCGGGTTCAATCCTCAGCACCACATACAAACAAAGATGTTGTGTCAGCCGAAAACTAAAAAATAAATATTAAAATTCTCTCTCTCTCTCTCGCTCTCTCTCTCTCTTAAAAAAAAAAAAAAGCAGTATACTTAATTTTTCTCACATATAAAGATGTCCTGGTCTGGGGATGTAGTTCAGTGATAGAGCACTTGCCTAGGCCCTGGGTTTCATCCCAAGCACTGCCCAAAAAAGAGAGTCCTGGTAATAAGCAGGGAGGAGGACTAGCACAGCTATTCAAAGCTGTTTTGAGGAAGCAGGAGCTCTTCTACATTATCTTTAGGCATCATTTGTCATTCTCCTGGGCACAAGATAGATGTCTCTCTCAGCTCCAAAAATGGTACCTTTGAAGGCAGAAGAAAGAAGGCAGAAAGGCAAAGTTTTGCAAAAAGAACAAAATAGTCGGGTTCAGTGATACTAGTCTATTTCTGATTGGTCAGGAAAGAAGGATGTTGTCACCCTTGGCTATATTAGTTAGGAAGGATGAGCAGTTAGGCCAGAAGCAATATCTGCCTTATTGGGCCTGATGGCAACTCTCAAAAAAACACCAATAAAGTAGCTTCAAGTGTTCCAGATACTGTGAACCAGTGCAGCAACTCAGAACTCAAAAAGGCAACTGAAACACTTCACATGTGAAAAATATGGAATTGTAAATAGTCAAGGATCAAAAATATCATGACAAATAGACAATATTCAAATATATTAACCTGGGACAAAATGTGTTATAAAGTCAAAGGAGTGTCTTCAGGGCCATATTTAACCTTAAATGCTAATTTTAGAGAAGAAAGACCAAATAATGAGTTTGAAGTGCACCATTAGACAATGAAAAAGATGACAACACACTCAACACATACAGGGTTTCTGTCTCATCATGAATTCTCTTGTGTATAGTAAGTGAAGAGCTCTGAAAGCTTTCCCACATTGGATACATTTGTAGCGTTTCTCCCCAGTGTGAATTCCTACTTGTTTCCTCAGGGAAGAGGAACTGGTAAGGCCTCCCCACACTCCTTCCTTTGGTAGGCCTTCTCCCTGGGGTGAGTCCTGTTATGCATCCTGAGGGATGAGAGGCCCCTGGCTTTCCCAGTCACTGCATCAAAAAAGTCCCCTCAAGTGTGTGTCTTCTTGTGAACCTTGTGAGAGCTGGGGTTGAAGGCTTTCCCACAGTCACTGCACCCATAGAGTGTCTCCCCGGCATGTATTCTCTTGTGTTCTATGAGGTAAGAGCTGCGCCAAAGGATTTTCCACACAGGTCACACTCATAGGGTCTCTCTCTAGGTCACACTCATGTGAGTTCTCACATGAGCCTTAAGAGATGGTTTTTGACTGAAAACTTTTCCACATTGATTGCACTCATAAGGTCTCTCTCCAGTGTGGCTTCTTACATGTCTCCTTAAGGTGGAGGAGTTGTTGAATACCTTCTCACATTCCCTACATTCATATTTTTTTTCTCACCCATGTGACTTTTTTTTGTGCAAAATAAAATTAGATTTCCTTTTTTTTGGGATTGAACTCAGGGGCATTCGATCCCTGAGCCACACCCCCAACCCTCTTTTCTATTTTATTTAGAGACAGGGTCTCACTGAGTTGCTAAGTACCTTACTTTTACTAGGCTAGCTTTGAATTTGTGATCCTCCTGCCTCAGCTTCCTGCTGAGTTTACAGGTGTGTACCACCGCGCCTCGCTTGGATTTCCTTTTAAAGGCTTTTCCACATTGATCACGTTCATATTGTTTCTCACCAGTATGAATCTGTTCTTGTTACTTAAGGGGCAAATGATGACAAAATGTTTTCTTCTTTTTGATGTGTTCATGAGAGTTTCCTATCATGTGAAAACTGTTGTGTGTAGAAAGCATGTTACTGTGTTTGAAGTGCAGACCAGGTTTGCGGCATGTGTATTCATTCTCTTCTTGCTGTTTCAGATTTTTTTATGATCCATAGAGCTTGATCATATTAATGACTTTCACAGTGCTTCTCACTTAGAGAGTCTTTCTCATAATTGTTTGCAATTGAATTGTGTCCCCAAATGTTCACTGTCTGAATAAGATTTATGGCAATGTTTACTCGTGGAAACACTCTGTAAAAAAAATGAGTTCTGATCTAAGTTTAGAGTTTTCTTCTAATTCATGATAGTCACATAATCTCTCCTGAGATATCGGTTCCTTTTGGGTGTATGTCACTTGCCTCAAACATCCCTCTGGGGTCTTGCGGTGCATTCTAATCTTAACACATTCCCCATCTTCTAATGTGGAGCACGAGTCGTTCATTATGAATCCTGTTTGCTCTCCATTGGATGGTTTCTCTTCCAAAATATTCTGCATAGGAGTTGGCCCTCTGGCTTTAAGTTGATCTTCCAGTGTGGACAGATGGCCTAGGGAATTCTCCTTTTCAATACTTCTTGTGTCTTCTTTTTAATTTTTTTTATAGTTGTAGATGGACAGCATACCTTGGTTTTATTTGTTTATTTTTATGTGGTACTGAGAATTGAACCCAGTGCCTCACACATGCTAGGCAAGCGCTCTACCACTGAGCTCCAGCCCCAGCCCCAGCCGCTCTCATGTCTTCTTGATCTGGGAGGAGTTCACAGAAGGTCTGTGTAATTGATATTCCACTGTGGTGAGATTTTTAGTTTTCCAACATTGCCCCTCTGTACAGACTTCTCTAAGAGTCAGCATCATACACTCCTCTTGAGTGAACTCCATCACTGTAACCTTGGAAGTCACTGGTTCCTGTAACCAGGCTGTCAGAAATCTAGCCACTATTCTTTCCTCCCCAGTATTTCTCATGCAGACACAGGTAAAGTCCTGTGTAGGGAGAGCTCAGGCAGAGGGCACATCAATGACTGCCATTTTGTGAATCCAGAAGTGACAAACTTACATAGTAGGGCAGCAAGATCAGGATGTTTCTCTGATCTACTCAGGAGAAGAATGTGTTTCACCAGTGTCCTCCCTGCAGCCAAAGAGCAGGTTCAGGTAAAAGAAGGAAGGTGGGTATGGCCCCATGGGGGGACAAGGTGAGAATATTTTGTAGACCCTCCCTGTCACCTCTCAGTAAGGTTTAGCTATCTTAAAATTGTCACCAGGATTTGTACTGACAAGTAGTATAGTCATTTTATAGTCTCTCTAGAACTACCATCCCAATTATTTGTACTAAATTCTCAGGTAGACTACTTCTTAGCTCTGGGTGAAAGGAGCATGTGTTATTTAAAAAAAAAAAAAAGTTAAAACTGAGGAGTCAAAAATGCAAAGTTGTGTAATTAAATTTCCTGTACAGTTTGCTATTTTGTTGTTAATATTTTGGAGTAGACAAGTAATTTTCCTGTTAAACATCACTGTCTTACCTTAAGACAAAG